CCTCAAGTCGCGCTGCTTGGCTGTTGGTAGTTGAAGCATGACAGTCGCCCCGAAATACTTTATTTTCGCATCCTGGCCGCCTTGCGCGTGTTGCAACCAGCAACACGTGCTCTGTACCCTGCCCTCATGAAGCGTCAGGAGGGAAAGAGCTACGACAAGAAGTACTCATGTACCTTCCCTGTCCTGGAGCCCAGGTCCGAATGCCAAGAGAAGCTGTGGTCATGGCATCACGACATGGCCTGAGTAGCACTTTCCTAGTAGGTACCTCCCTAAGGTAGGTACTTTATGTTCCACACGGCCATCCTCTTGAATCTACAATAGAGACCCGAGCAAACCTCAGCATAGTCTTGTGAAGCATGCTCTTACTGCTCTGTCTGCTAGGTGCAATCTGCTGTGTCGGGTCACGGCTATCGCCCGCCATATCAGTGCATGCGGTACCGCGGTACTGGCTCCAGCTGGCCTGTATATGCCATCTCATTTGTCGTTTCATCGTTGCTAACTGTGGCCAGTTCCACATCACATCAACAACGGTCCCAGAGCGATGCGACAAGCCTGAGGTGGCAATGCGATTGGTATCTGGCAGCCAGGAAAGTGGTCCGGAGCATGTCCCGACCGTCGAGATTGCAACCAAGGAAGCCCTCGGTTCGACTCCAGTAGAACTCCGGTTCGCCGCAGCCGCAGAAGCAGAAGCAGACACAGCAATGCTTGGCGATGTCCGTCAATACGATAATACGATACAGTACATATTGAGGCTTCAATAGACTTTCTTGTCCTTGTCTGCCCTGTCAGAATGAAGCCCACGTAGTATCCCGTTTCCCGGCGCCATTTTGAGTTGAGCCTGGGCATATACAATGTACACACACGTACACAAACCACAACATGACGGCAAGCGTAGGCTTTCATGCCTAGAGGTGCAAGCCCGGCTTCGGTCCAGATTCGGAGTACTGAGCGTGCATTAACTGGGTTGTCACCCTCGGAAAGCCACTGGCTCACCAGGAATCACTGTCCGGCTCAATGGCCGCATGACTGAACGAACACCCCAGATGCTAACACTGAGTGACCATCGAGATCCTTGGGTCAGGGGCCGTGTTCCGGCGGCTCACTCGGCTCCAAACCGAAATCTCCACCGCTGATACTTGGGAAATGGCCTCGCCACCTCTCCCCCCCCTCTTGGGCCACGGATACTGCCGTGCCATTGGCGTAGCAAAAGCTAAATGCGGCATTCTGCCACCACACTGTCGCCCATACGCTATCATGCTTGGCATTGCTATGCTCAGCACGACTGTTACTTTCCATGCACGGCAATAATTGTCTGCAGTGGTTTCTTGCGGGATTCAAGATTCAAGAGTTCTATTGCAACCTGAAAAGTTCTCCTTGACAGACCCCAGAACGTATGCTCAAACCAGGCCAAGTGCACCTTTCTAGACCGGGGCCGAAGCGCCATACTCCTGGGAGGCCGCAAAGCTCGCAAAAATAGAAGCCGACGTGTGACGAAGGCCCAGCAGCGAGACGCGCCGCGCGCCTGCGTTTAAACCCGGACACTTGACACCTGACACCCAGAGTCAAAAGGTGAACAGTACGCCGCCCTGGTTGGCTAAGACAATAGCTTGTTGGCAATGCCCGCTAATTCTGTGTATGCGGCTTGGCTCACAGGTCAAGTATAAGTAGTGCTTGGGTGATATTAGGGCTGTCTACTCCGTACTCCGTACGCCGCCTGACAACCCGGTGGAGTTTTGGTTGACACTTGCCGTGACAATTGTGCTGACGACTTTCAGAGAAGCTTTGTCGACCTTGGTTTCATCGCCCTAACACCAGAACAGGAATGCCATGGCGGGCCGTCACCGCGAGAGGTCGGTTTATGGAGCACCCCTTTGGGATTGGACCTAGCATCAGAAACAGGACTCTGCTACACCCACGTAGTCCAGCGTCTGCCAAAAACCCAAGCTGCTGGAGAATGCACGTGTGCGCAGCTTTGGAGGATGTATCGCCAGGGGCTTTCTATGGGGATGGATAGAATTGCTTCTGACTCAACTATCGCTCACATCCGGCGGATTCAGCCGGGGGATCTTGGCAGCTCGCTGGCCCTGTATAGTACATACATACAGCAGGTCATTGACGCCCATGTCAGCGAGGACGTTTGCTGCGGAGAGGAACTACTATGACCAGGTCCCGTGTGAACCAAACTGATCTAGTGGTGATATCATGAGGCTGGTGGTCCTTGAGGGGTGGTCTTGCGGATCACCCCTCAGCATCTCTCTAAGGACACTGCATACATACATACAGACAACATCTTGCATAGTGTGCGCCATCAAGCGGACATCAGGCCAAATATGGTGTCTCTGACCCCAGCCAGAGCCCCATGCCCAGGAAAGCTTGGCATGCCCGGGCGAGGGCGCCTGGTCCTTCGGCAGGACAGCCCGCGGTCTAGCCGAGTTAGCCTCTGGATGCTTGCTAGACTCGGTATGTCGGGGATCTTGATGACCCTGGTGGCTAGGTTAGGTATGGCGGGCGAGACGGATTGCAAAATCCAAAGACATGTTACAAGACAGGACGACACAGGAAGGTGACGAAATGAAACCATCAGAGCCGGGAGCTGAAGACAAACCGTCAGGAAGATCAGGGCAGTATTGTCATGTCGGTTAAATTTTGTAGGAGCTGTGCCTTTTGACTACCTACTAGGTAGGCACTTAGTTCAATGCTCCGTGTATACTGTATGAGGCGGAGTTCTTGGGTGAGGTAACGGCTCTTTGCTGTTTGTGACGTCTACACGGAGCCCCCTCCGAAGCTGAGTCGCGATGGATTTGATTCATGGGCGAGGAGAAGGGGGGTTGTCGGTACGCCATTCGACGCGGCAGGTCTACGAGTTTACATCTGTACAGTGCAGCACGATATCTCTCGTCCTTACTCGCACACAGATGAAGAGGATGCACCAGCTGGGTCCCACGTCCATCCGACATCCACAGGCCACCCACAAGATATTGCGAGAGGCACTGGTGCCACTCCTGGGTGGATTGTGAGGCGTTGGCAATCGATCGCGCCTCGACCACCCCTTCACGCCACGTACAATCAGGGTAAAGTTGGTGCTCGGGAGACACCAGACACCACACTAGGGAACGGGAGATGAGGACCGGAACAAGCACGAGAACAGACAGACGAAACGGCTCGACACTGCAAATCGCCGGGCATGGGAGTCATATTAGACGGGGCCATTCGGAGACCAAGAGGGTCTATGGGCGCTCTCCCGAAAACTGGACAAGGTTAAGATGGGCGCTGTCTGGTAGCTGTTGGCTACTAGGGCGATGGATGGCATTTTAGCAGGCAGTGGATGACACGCCCGAGGACACCCCAGTCCTGGCTGGGGCGAAACACGTTAGTGGCTTTGGCTGATATCGCTCAAGAAGCACACAGCTCAGTTCTCGGTAGGGTCATCAGAGAGCCCTGGCCAGACACGGGCACTTGAACGGAGTGACCCAGACCCAGAAGTCAGCAAGGTTGGACCAAGGCAAGGATGACGGAGCAGGGTCTGCTCGACAAACCTTCGACGGCCCCTCGACGTGACCAATGGTTCTTCATGTGCACATGTATGCGCAGATAATATTCCCCGAGTTTTGTTTTAATGGCGTAGAGCCCCAGGTCGTCACGGGCGAGCGGCATTATCCTGGCAACCTGGTACCCTACGTGCCTTTGCGCCTACGCAGAGCTGAGTGCCTGGGCATGCTGATGGTACGGAGTACTACTACATTCCCATTGTGCTCCGTCCTCTCCGTCCTCTCCGTCTTCTCCAGTCTCCCGCGTAGGTACGAGGTAGTTGGGTGCGTGGACTGCGACGGACTTAGCAGGACATAGCGAGTCGTTGCTCCAAGAAGTACTAAACAACTTCGTCCGCGCAAGCGCAGGCCTCGAGTTCTTACTTGCCCTTTCCCAGCTTGGACCGTGGGAACTTGAAGAGCACTTGAGCCTTCGCTTGCTCCTTGGTCTGCGACTCAGCCTGGTCCTTGTTCACCATTACTCCGTACCAGAAGTAGGGCTTTCCAGCTTTCCAGACTCCGAGGTCGCCCAGTCTCTCGCCTCTGGTCGCCTGCGCCTGCGAGTTCTTTGCGGGCTCCTTGCCGAACAAGCACGAAGCGAAAGAAGCAAGGACATCGACTCTTCCTGAGACGGCCCCAGGTACCTCTCACGGCCCGCCGGCTCGAAGCTGGGCTGCATAGTTGCAGAAGGCAGATGCCATCTCTGATCTCTGAGCAAAGTCTCACCACGCACACACCGGACGCACACGTACGCACGCACGCACACGCACATCACAACAACAATAACAACAACAGAGCGTTGCATACCGCCTTGCTCGCAACTTGCGTAGCAGCGATTTCCAGACCGGCCTCATTGCTCGTCGACGACGGTTTCCTCGCATCGTAATCGCCGCTCACCACTGGTCCTGGTCCTGGCTGCTGGCGCGCACCCGGGCCAGAATCACAGTTGTGTCGCTCCTTGGCGCATCTCGTCGGAGGTCGCTGTCGACAAGTCGCACAAGAACTGCAGCGCAACCGGATAGACGGAACTCGACCTGCGCCGCTTTGCACCGCTTTCATTTTGCCGGCTTTCTCATCAGACGGGTAGCCTGGACCAACCACTGCGACGGAACTTGAACAGAACTGTTGACTAGCGAAGCGAGATTTGCATCTTGTCGCATCTTGATTGTTCCGAGCTCTGGCAAGCCACTCCATCCTTTTGCGATCCTCACCACAAGACTCTTGGGCCCCCAATCACCAATTTGAGTGACTCGCTGCACCCTGCCGTCTTGAAGATACCGCAGACAACAGTGTGTGTGCTCTTTTATAATTTTTTTTTTTTTTTTTTTTTTAAATTTTTTTTTTTTTTTTTTTTTTTACAAAAATTTCCCTAGCATTCAGCCCGACGGTCTGAGAGAAACCACTCATTCAACGAGCCGGAGGAAACGGGGAACATTGGAAGTGTCGGTGCCGTCGAGTTCATACCATATCGTCATGGCAGAGCCGTCGCACAATCCATATGCTCGATCCCCCAACCCATCCACAAGGTCATATGACTCCTCTTCAGTTTCCTCCGCTACTTCACCGAGACCGCCGTCAAGGTATTTGGGGGGTCTCCTTGGTGCCAGCTCGAGGCCCAACAACGCAGCTTCAAGCCCGCAACCACTTGGCATGACTCCTCTCCCGCCGGTCAACCAGGGCTTCCCTTACGGCCCGGTCATGAGTCGGGAGTCCCTCCCATCTGCAGAAGCTGTTATGGCTGGGCAAGGTCCAAACCATGGACACCTGCCTGGAACACCTGGTGGCCAAGCCCAGAAGAGGGCGTATCGACAGCGAAGAAAGGACCCCAGCTGCGATGCATGCCGTGAAAGAAAGGTCAAATGCGATGCAACAGAGACCACCAGTTGCTCTGAATGCTCCAGCCGAAACGTCAAGTGTCAATTCACCAAGGAGACCAATAGGAGAATGTCTTCTATCAAGCAGGTGCAGGATTTGGAAAAGCAAATCGAGAAAATTAAGCGCGAGAATTCCACCCTACGCCGACTCCTGCAAGAGCGAGAAGGTCACATGGACATTGATTTAGACGCGCTACCATCCATTGCATCTGCACCGAAACTACGCAAGCGACTCCCACCAAATCCCGAGCTGACGAGAGCTAGGCTTCATGTGCGAAACTTCTCCAAGGGCATATGGCAGCCACCCTCACAGCACCGTATATATGCTACATCGGTTCTTGAATGCCCTGCGCCAGAGTTGCCTCCAAAGACCGTCACAGACCGCCTATTGCACTCGTTCTGCAACTCGGCTCATACCATGTTTCCCATCATTCACATGCCGAGCTTTCAATCCGCGGTGGACGACTTATATAGAGTCCATCCTCCACGCGCCACGTCTGCATGGATCAGCATGTTCTTTGCTGTTCTTGCCACGGGCAGCTTGTTTAGCCCGGAAGCTCCGACGACGGCTACATTTTATCGGCCAGCCGAGTTTCTGGAATCTGCTCGCAAGGCAATGGACCCATGGAATAATACCCATGTCCTGGATAATGCGAGAGCTCTCGTGCTTATCACCATTTGCCTCAATGAGATGAATCTGAAGTCTGCTGCTTGGAACTGGCTCGGAAATGCTGTACGCGTTGGACAGGACTTGGGGCTTTATTCTGAATGTGGCTCTTGGTCAGCCATCGACACAGAGATGCGGCGCAGAACATGGTGGGCCACCTACATCTTGGATAGAACCATGGCGACCGAGATGGGACACCCGTTTCTCATTGACGATGCTGACTGCGATGTGTCGTTACCGGTAGCCGTGGACGATCAGTACCTCCGCGAAGGCGGTACGCGTATACCCAATGGAGCGGAGCCCTTGACGCATTCGCTACTGGCGGTGATTCATGTAGTGCGGTCATATACAGCGTTGGTAAAGGCGTTGGATCAGCCATTTCTCTCTGCGACTCAGCTGACCACGTTCGACAACCACTTCAACAAGTGTCTCAGCACATTTCCTCCCGCTTGTGAGCCCGGCAGCACTGTGCCCTTGGCACCTCACTTTCTGGCTCCCCTTGCTTATCTCTTCCATGCCAGACTGCTGCTTCACAGGCACAACTTGTCGCCAAGCTGTTCACCGGAAACCCGCCTCGCCGCCGTAGAGAATTGCACCCATGTCGCCTTGGAAACTGCATCTCTGATTGAGCGAACCAAGTCCCCGGCGGATGGAGCAACAGCACTTCTTACTGTGCACATCTTCCGCTCAGCGTTGTTTTTGTTGCTAACCAACTATCTTGATCAAGCCATTATTTGTATCAGAGCTCTGGCTGCTATCGATGCTCGCCGTGACGTCTCGATGTCGTGTGGTCGATTTTTAGCCTTTTTCATTACGACTTTGGGTGTGAAGCGTACCGACTACGCATCCTACGTATCCCGTCGGTCATCTATTGATCAGACAGAACTCACTTTGTCTCTCGCCCGTGATGAGGAGTTGCTAGTTTATGTTTCCACGGATATTCAAGCTTCTCCGAACCGGTCCTGGCTTTGGTCGTTCCAGGACTTCGATACGGCTTCCCCGAAGACAGGAATGGGTTCTCAAAGCCATCCCGGCACAAGCGAGAAAGTCCTTTTCAGCTCTGAACAAAGAACTGGACTGAACGAAGAAGAGCGCAGAGATTGGGTTGGATGGACCAGACTGGAATCAATGGCTCGCGGCATAGGATCGGTAAACGTGCCATACCCGCCTCCCTTACCGCCCCCGCAGGTGAAGAGCGAATCGCCCATCGCAAACGTCGAGCTTCCAAGACTTTCCGAGACATCCCGATACTCTGTTGGTCATCGAGGCGATGCTAACCCCCCTGGTCCAAAGCGAGGCGCCGAACGCATTAGCATCGCGAACATTATTTGATTTTGGCGCAGAGTGTTTTATCTTGCACTGCATAGCACAGAAGGAGAGGCATTAGCCCAGCATCTTGTGTTGTTTTCATCAGGAGGCGCCGAGGGAATTATAACCATTGTTACACGTTGTCCCCCCTTTTTTTTTTCTTGTCGCATTCTTTATTCCTTTGGATGCGTGTCATAGCTGGCAGTGTCATTTTGGTCGGCATTTTTCAAAGAGCTTGGAGATACCACGGAACTTATATGTGCGGTTGTCTTGTTTATGAAATGATTGCTCTCAACACTTTTGTGCTAATTGCCCTCCGTTTTCGTACAGTGGGAGGCGGAAAGTATTTCACCAGGTCATGTGCCTGGCTACCGCGCTTTATACTATAATATATTATAGTATGTTAGTGTATACTTCTTGGTGGGCAAATATATTCTGCCACAGACTGTATCCCAAATTTTCTTGTGTTTGGTTACTCTCTCCAATCTGGTTTTAGTAATTTGAGCAGACCACGCACACGACAGTTGCCCTTATTTTACGATACGATATGTCAAATGCTTAGGTTCTGGCTGTCGCTACCGCTGGATGTATATATTTTGTGGGCAAAGTCTATATGAGCTATACATGTATATGCCGTCTGATGAATCGATATGATGTTATAAACCCCATGAACAGACGCGAGCCCTCTTTTGAAGCAACCTGACCGTGTGGAGTTCATTATGCTGCCGCTTTATCCACCTGCCATGAACATATTTCACTTTCAAAACGTAGTTGGCCAAACCTGTCCCTCAATGTCTTTGCCAGCCTTCCTCTGTCATTTAGGTATTCGGCCAATTCCATAGACTTGGCGGCCCAGACTCTACAGGATGTCTCTTCCGAGAGAGCATAGTAATCAATCGCATGGTTGAACGTAATGGCGGCTATCCACTCCAGGTCCGCCCGAGGTAACAAAGTGCCCGCGTCGCGGCTTTCGTGAGCGACTTTCATTATTTGACCGATGATTTGGAGTGCCGCAGTATCGTTAACAGAGACGGTAGTTTGGAGGATGATGCGCAGATATCTACATAGTTTTGCGGCGTCAAATTGTTCTAGTCTGTGGATTTCGTTGCTGATTGTTTTGAGCGTTGTGGTAAGGACTGAGGGGTGTTAAATCCTTTCTAGCTAGATGTTCGAAAACTGGGATGAGACGAGTCAGATAGGAAATTTCCACTGTACCTTGGGCTGGAATTGGGTACTGCAACAGAATATCACCTAGGCACTTAAAGGTTTGTAAATCTTTATACAGTTTCGCATTGCCTATGATTGTTTGAAGATCTTCGAATTGACCAAGCGAGATTGCTGCTTCAAAGTCATAGACTAAGAGGGTGGTCATTTTGCTAGCTAGGTCTTGGTGAAGGTTGATATCTGTTATTGTGGAACTGTGAAAGATGTTCTTGTACTCTGTTGTATGGCGTCGAATTTCTGCGTAGCAAAGGTGCATTTTTGGTAGATCCTTACAACGCTGCGCTTGTTTTAATAGACATACCGAGATGAGAAAATGGCATCTCAATAGGGTTGAAGCCAGTTCGTTGGCTTGGCGGGCTGAGATTGTGGGCTGGTAGCATGATGCAAAGGATATGCAAGAGCTGGAAAGCCTGATGATGTTGTCTTCTTGCCATTCGTGGCATTTTAGAATGGCTATATTATATGCGTTTTTGCGAAACCAGTTTAATTCAGATATTGGAAATGACTTAATCGCTTCTTGCCTGGGCTTTGCGTATTTTGCAGCTAGAGAATTAGCTAATAAATCCACGAATTAAAGGTGGCGAAATACCTATTTCGAAGATGTAGCATATATCTTCCACAAATTGTGATCTATTAGAATATCCGCCGAGCTCATGATGATTCATGTCAGGCGTCTCCATCATCCTTAAAGCGGAGCGCAACAAAAGAGGCACATTGATAGATGGAGGAAAACCTTCGCTCAGTTGTTCGAAAATTGCTTTAAGTGCTTCTAGAGCACACATTTTGTCTCCGGCATTTTGGGCCTCACTAAAGCAAGCATACAATAAGTCTTGAGTTTGGTTAGCATCGTTTTCAGCGGCCATTGCCTTCAAGCTGTTGCAGCCTAGCTCGTGATCCTAGCTGAGCAGAGACACTTTGAACATGGCGAAATGCATCAATACTGTATCGCCCTGACAAATTGGAAGCAAACCATTGAGTGACTCATACACTTCTTGGACATTGTTTCGTTTTATTCCGCAGATAATCAGCCTTCTGACAAACCGTCCAAGACCAGATGTATCGTTCATGCGAAATAAAGGTGAAAGAGCTAAATGGCACCAGAACTCGACCTCTTCATATCGCCTTGCTGAAAAAAGTGGTTCCGTACCCTTCCAAATAAGCTGAATATATTAACACTGGTAATCAATGTCTCGCCGGGGCAACATACCGCATGGCATGCTTCCACTTCCACCCATGACAGGTGTTTCCGGATAGACTGATGAACCTTTTCGACAACATCACCTAGTTTTCGGTGTTCCTCATGACTATATATCATGTTGAATGTTGTCCATATCCGCAGAAAGACAACTTTGCCGAGCCAAATCGCATTCTCGCCTGGGAGTGCGCGTCGGAAAAGTAACTCGTCGAGAAGTTCCGATGGGGAACATTTATCTCCAAGTCGTACAAGATGAGCCAGCGCTAGGTAAAATGTGTTTTCTGAAAGCCCTGGCGATAGAATCATTCGCCGTATGATGCTGGTATGGGCTTCTTCGGAAAAGCCACACTCGTCAGTAACGTGTAATATCACCAACTGCCAATGCAGCAGGACTGGATAGTCCCCAATTCGTGACAAAACAGTATCCAAAATGCTTCTAGCCTCCCCTATGCTCTCTTGAAGATTGCCTTTTGTGATAACTTGCATTATTTCATTGCATATGGCGAGATGTAGATGCTTCGCCTTTGGAGACAAAATGCCGGTTTTGGAGCTGAGGAGATGGTGTCCTCTTCTGAGCCAATTAAGCCCCGATTCAAGGTTTTGTTTGGAAAGTAGGTCTGTGCCAACATTTTGGAGAACATTGGCTAAGTTTTCGACTGACCTGTCATCGAGGTCTCGCCGAATCGGGTCGATTTTGCTGAACATGTGCTCGGCCACATCCAACCGGTCCTCTTTCCACGACTAGACTGTTAGCTACTCAACGGATGCCCTAAGTCTCAAATACATACTAACAATATTCTCAGAGAATAATATGCAACCTGAAGTCGGGTCGTTTGTGGATTACGGCAATCCCGCGTGTTTGGCGTAGACTCAAGAATATTTACGTAGGTAGCGCCTCTCTGCATAGCGAGTCTCGCAACACCAAGCTCAGAATCATTCATACTGGCAGCTGTGACTGGTAATACGAGTTCCAGCAAGTACTCTGCTTCGAAGACACTATTTCCACCTGTCGTCACTCCCAGTCTGCTTAGATGGAAGAGCAGAAAGGCCAGGAGCCAGGAGTGTAGAACAAGTCTCTGCATGTTGCTTGCCGAGGTCTCCTTTTTCATATCCCGCCTTCGTCTCACGCACAACTTCCAAAGGACCCGACTGTGGGCTTCAAGTTTTTTCAAAGTGCCTGAACTGATGATGGTGGGTGTTGAAATACAGAAAGTAGCCGTGTGCAGGCCCATCTCCACATGGCCAAGAAGAATATCATGATCGGATATATGGCTTGCTAGCACAGTCTGAAGCGTCGTCGAAAGTTCTGCATACGATAAGACGGTCAGTCAAGTTCCATAGTCAGTCGAGGTCGCCCTTGTGCGTGGGCATGTACCTATCAAGTTTTCAATCTTCCTTTCGTTAGAATGAGAAGACTCCATGGTATAATGTAATCATGCAAGGCTTTTTCCCTACTCGCTTAAACTTGTGGACGCAGTGTTGTAATGGCCGGTGAAATCGTTGCATTCTACCATGGGCGTGCAGAATGTCGCTTCCTGGAGTGATACGACATGTTAGCGAGGTGTGGTCTGGTCGCTCCTTCCCAAACTGAATGAAGCCAAGAGGGCCAGTTGGCCCCATCAGCCCCAACTGTCCACGAGTCCAGAATCCATATGTCGCGTCCCAGCTTCGAAGAACACCAAGAACTGTTTCCTGTAGGGTGCTTTTCTAGAAATATATTGCAACGCGGGTGTTTATTCAATACTTGGCTGTAGAGCCACCTGTGCTAAGCCAACGCCTCGATAGCCGACATACAGAACCAATAGCCCACTGGATACCTGGTCCGGTTAAAACACAACACGACGAGTGATCCGAAACCTTGCGCCATCCAAACAGAGTCTCCCCCAAAGTCTCACCTTGCACTAGTGTGGCGACGCCTACAAATTAATTCGGTGGGGGGTCGTGAGGCAAGAAGTTGCCCACGATCAAGGCGGGCCTACTCACACTGTTAGGACACAAAGGCCAACATATTGCCTTGAAGTGATGTGTAGTACTCACAGTTTATGGTCATCACGACGAATCGTGAACGAGAAGCAACACTTCACGACGGGGTGATCTGACGCATCGCTAGGGTTCTTTAATGAACAGGCCGTCAATAACGTATCATGGGCAGGGTCGAAAGCAATTGTGCCAAACTCTTCCCAATATCTAACCATAGAATCTTCAGTCAGAATTTCATGCAAAGCAATTTTGCCCTAGTTTTAAAACGGTCAGTTTGCGTACAGCCCATGGAACAAAGGCAAAGTGTACTCACATCTCGTAGTTGATCTACGGGAACATTTATGAGCTCGGCCATCTCCTTATTGCCCCTGAAAATCTCTCCTGTTCTCCTCCAACAGCAGGCAGGAACAGCCATGGACGCGAATACACGATCATAGTCCATCAATTGTTTCTCGAACCACATCTCCACGATAATGAGTTGCATGTCCGTCAGTCCCTGAGCCTTCTCTCTGAACTTCGGTCGGAATTGGTTGATGGTTCGCAGGATTTTCTGTTTCGAAGACGGTGCTATATGACCATCCAAGTATTTACCCAAACGAGCATACCCATTGATATAGTTGAACGG